ACACCCTGCGCTGAAGCCTGTCCCTCCCGCCCACCTCACACCCCACCCTGCCCTGCCTCTCCCTGCCCCTGCCCTACTCATGGTCCTCACTTCTGCCTGTCCATGCCTCTCTTAAGGACAGAGCCTGGAGGGTTTTGGCAAGGGCTCTTCACTTAGGGGAAAGACAAGCAGGGCTGTCTTGGGGCTTTAAAGGGGCTCCCTTTCCCCCAGCGTGGGGCTTCTGACACTTCCAAAGCCTGAGAATCTATGGCGAGGGAAAAATGTATCTCTCCTGTTTGAAAGTAGACTAGGGAGCGGCCCATATCTGGTTATGGGAGAAATGAATCCCGGGGCCTTTTATGATTGTTCAATTTTGCCACCAGGTAACCATAATTTTTTGTGCCCCAGCCCGTCTGCGGCGGGGCTGTGCTTGTCCAGGTACTCAGGACGGCCACCTGGGGCCTGGTCGGGCTGGGCCTGAGTCCCTCTTGTCCTGCCCCCTGCTCTGGGCCAAAGAATCCCATGGAATGAGTGCAAGCCAGACTGTAATTTCTGCGTTCAACTTGGAAAAAGTCAGATTCTTTGAAAAACATGTCTCGGGTTCCAGACCAGCCTTCACCACATCTGCATCCTGGGGAGGGCCAGGGGCCCAAAACAGGCTTTGAGTGTGAAGAGGGTGACACTGCACCTGTGTGTGCGCCTCTCCTCTGCTTCTCAAGTTCTAGAGGCTGCAGACTCAGCTGGACAGCAGGGAACTCGTTTCCAGGAACTCTGGCCTGAGGGTCTGAAGGGGGCTCCCACTCCCTAGTGAGTCTCCTGGGGTGGGCCCAGGGCCACCTGTGAGTCAGACGGAGGACCGTTGCCCTTGAGGATGTTGGTGTCAGCCTCCAGCCTATTGCTCTGGCTGGCTGGTTGCTTGGTTCCTTCTGTCCAGCAATATGGCTTCTCTTTTCTGTCTTCCCCTCGACTGGTGAGCCCATGTGGACAAAGCTGTGTTGCCTTCCTTTATCCCACTGAAGCGGATGTCTTCCTGTCACTGGCCCTATCCAGACCATTCATCCAAACAAGTATCAAGGGGCCGGGGTGGGAGAATGTTTTTCTGCAATCTGTCAGTCCTTAAAAAAAAACACCAACAAAACTGTGCAGGGCAGTGGCATTCCACTGTGGAGCCCAGGGCGCTGACCCCTGAGGGGCGCACACAGGTATTTTGAGAAGCACTGACCTTCACAAATATTTACACGTAACGTGGACTCATGAGGAAACCTAAGTGTGGCTTGAAAGCGCGGCTTAAAAGTGTAGGAGGAAAGACAGCAGAGTTGAATCCCTCCCTCTTCTCTCTCTGGCCCCAATCTCGATTTAACAACAAAAACGCCAGTGTCTAGCTCTAAAAGAAATAGCTGTTCTTGCAGAGAAAGTTCTCTTTGTTGAGTGTTGAGAGAGTTCAGTTTGCAGGAGGCTCACAGACAGAACCGTCGGTGCAGGTAAAAGCTGTGTACTTCTCGGGGCCATCTTGCTTGGTCTTCTGGTGGCTGCCCCCATCCTGAACCTATGGAGGGAACCGAGATTTGGAAGTGTCAGGCAATCACATGGTTTTTCTAGCTCTGCCAGGATATAATATTCCTTATTATAGCCCACTGCCCCTGTCCACCGACCTGGGAAGGAAAGGTATCCCAGAAGCCCTTGCCTTTCACATGGCTAACGATTCCAATCATGGCCCCCAGTACACAGAAGGCATTTGGGGAGATGTTTACTTTGTGGAGACCCAAGCCAACTGAGGTCAGGCAGGGAAAATTCCAGACAGGATCACAAATCATCTAACCCAGGACTTCAAGAGTGCAAGGAACCAGGGCCACAGAGTCTTCAGACTTGCAGCTGGCTGGAGAAGAAGAGGTGCCAGGAGGGAGGGCTTCGGGGAGGTCAGAAGGGCCAGGATGGGAGCTCCTGCCTCCCTTCTCCCCACGGGTGTGGGCAGGGCTGAGCCACACGAAACTGTGACGAGAAACATCCACTAGCCATGTGCGCAGCAGGTAGACAGAAGATAGGGCTTTTAATGAACAAGGAGCAGCCTTCCAGGCTGTTCTACAACAGGCCAACTCAGGCCTTTGCACTGACCGTTCCCACATGCAGATATTCTTCCCCTGAGAGCCTCCTGCCCTGCTCCCAATATTCCTGCAGGTCTCTGCTCAGAAGACACCTTATCAGAGAGGCCCACTAAGCCTGTAGATAGTGACCTCCCTCCCGCCCTTGTGCTCTGCACTCCCTATCCCCCAATGACCCAGTCAAGGAACCCATCCAACCAACAAGAAGGCTGGAGAACCAAACAGGGAATCGAGTGATCCAGCTCAGACCTGGTCACCAGGACAATGTGGTTTGGATGCCATCACCCGGGACACTTGCCGCCATGCTACCCATTCTCAGTTTCCCCTTGGGGTCACTCCCTCAAAGGTGGGGGCATCTACACGGCTTTAATCAAGTCAAGAGTCCGTACTCAGCGGCCAGGGGACGAAGGCACGAGCCCTCTGATGAGAGATGGGGCCTCTATTCCCACCTGTCTAGGAGTTTCTCCATGTGAGAAGTGTTCTTGGAAGCTGGGTAGCCCACACAAGAACATATCCACCATAGCCGGGTATGGAATTCGGGGTTGATGGCATCATTCTTATGGTATTAAACATTGTATGTTGTAGATTTTTGTTGCAAAGAAGTTAACTGTCCATCTGCCTTGTGTTCCTTTGTGGCAAATTTTCTTATCTTCTGATAGTTTAAGAATTCCTCTGCATTTAACATACTACGTTTTCACCATGTGTGGCTGGATCGCAATTTATTTACTCTGCTTAGTGTGTAGGCACCAGTGTGCCTTTCCAATATAAAGATGTTTGCTCTTCTTCTAGAAAATTCCCACACATCCCAATGTTCAGTTGTTACTCCCTTGATATTCTCTTCAGAAATTCATTGGCCTTTTCATTCTGTCTTCCATTATCTCTTATAGAGAGAGGGAGTGCTGCCCTTGAGCCTCTGCACTCTGAGTTATAGTTGGGGATGTTTCTTCAAATTCATTATTCCGCTCTTTAATCCTCTCTTCATTTGTGTCTAATCTGATGTTTAACCCACCCATTAATTTTTACCTTCAGTAGAACTTTATAAAGTTCCATTTCGTTCCCTTTCATGTCCACCTGTTCTTTTATCATGTTTTTTTTTCTCCATATGTCCTTGTTGTAGGGTTTCTGTTTCCTATTTTATCTCTTCCATTATTTTACATATTCTTTTTTGTAATCCCACTCGGGAGACTACTCTTGCCTGTGGTCCCTGTGTTTTTTCTTATATTCTAACTTTTGGGATAGTTTCTTTGTGTGCTTGATGTTTTCTTGGGGGATTATTTTCAGCAGGAGGTTGTCGTCTTGCTTTGTGGGGTGGTGTTTCATGGGTGGTTTTTGTGTTTGTGTTTTACTGGGAGTCTTTGGTGCCCTCCATTGTGAAAATTTCCCTCCAGTGTGGCTTTGCAGTCATGTCTTCTGGGTACTTGGAATGATAGCTCGGGTGGTTCTGCAAGCTGAAGGAGGCAAGAAGGGAGAATGAATAAATTTGGGATGATCAAGCCACCTCAGAAAGGTAGCCTGTCTCTCCTCCCAGGGCAGGTGACCGAGCCGAGTCTGTACTGTCTGTCTCTTGCCTCACTCATGAGATCTTCGTGTCCTATATTACTTCAGTGCCAAGAGGCCCAGGAGTACAAGTAACAGGAAACTTAGTGCAAATAGGCTTTAAACAATTAGGTAGTTCGTTGACTCGTGTGATTAAAAAGGGCAGAGAAGGCATGCGCGTGACCTCAGGCTCTTGTATCTATCAAAGTCCATTGCAGATTAAGAATCTTTCTCTGGAGCCTTCCTTTTCATCTCTGAAACACCACTACCCGTTGATCCTTGGGAATCATAGTTTTGAACATGTCTCTCTCTGGCTCAAACCCTTTCTTTGCAGGCTTACATCATCATTTTGGTTGGCATTCTAGGCCATTCATTTCCACAGCTTTACCTCCTCTGATTGGTTCTTCTTCACATATCCTTAAATTCCTTCCACCAGAACCACTCACTTCTCCTCTGGCTTCCACCCTTACCTGACCCTTCCCTGGACTCCCAGTGGGACTTCTCCATAACACTTGCCCACAGCGCCCACACTGTTGTCTATCTGAGTTAGTTGTGTCCATGTCCCACACCACCCCTTCGTCTTTCCAATTACTTGGAGGATCAAGCCTCATGTCACTTATTTTCCTATTTCCCATGGTGCTTAGCGGAGGACACCTCACGGAAGAGCTTCTCCAGCTGGCCTCATTGAACCTGGGTCATCCCGTCCTCTAGGTTGGGGCAGCTTAGCAGCACCTGCATCATACGTGCTAGAACAGGCTCTCACAGGACACCACTGGCCTAGGAGTCTCTTTGGTGCAGGTCAGAGGGCTCAACCCTGGAAGTGAGCCTCAGGACTGATGGCAGAGAGAAAGGAATTCCTGCTGCCCCATCTCCCTCTGTCTCTGACTCCCTCTTGGTTAGGCACCCTCTGTTACCCTTCCTTCAGGATGCTTTCCTGACCCACCTATCCTCACAGCCCCCCGCCCTGTGTGAATTATAGGGAATCCCACCTGGTATGGTTGTCCTGCACTGTGAATACAGTGTCTTCCAAGTAAGGGCCCGAGGGGTGTTGTAGGGCCTCTTGCTGTGCCCTCTCCACAGGCCCTGCATTCAGCAGGGGCTCACAATGCCCATCTGTTGGTCAAGAGCCCTTTGAAGTTGATAATGACCTTGTGTGCCAGTCTGCCCAGCACTCACCCCAGAGTAAACAAGAGGGCATGAGTGAGAATCTGGGAGCCACAGGGAACCTGATGGAGCTGTTTGGGGCCCATGTTTGTGTTGCTCAGAGGTCTTGTTCACTGCTGTCATTAGCCTCCTACAGTGCCTGGCCCATGGCAAAGCTTCCCACATCTATATTTAAATGAAAGAATGAATGAGTTAATGGGTGCATCTTACCTCCTCCGACAGATTACAACAGCAGTGAGTTGAAAACGGCCTGCAGGAAGCATGAGCTTTATGTGAGCTTCCAAGACCTGGGATGGCAGGTGAGTTCTCTGGACCACAACGGGGACTAAGGTCCTTTCCCATCTTCATGGCGTGGCTGTCCTCGAAGAACTTGAGCTTTAGGGCTGAGATGATTCCCATGTGAAGGGACTTGGGAGCTCTTCTGAATGCCTGGGCTTCTGGAGGAACGCAGAGGAAGGGTCAGCCTACTTGTGTACCCCCCACACCCCAACACCTTCCCAGGGAGCCAGGTTCCCAAGTTCCGTGTACCTCAGAATCAGTCCCACAGTTCCCAGTGCTCTTCCCCCATTCTTCCAAAATCCATGAGGCGCTTTGGCATTTGTGTTTTGAGAAGGGTTGGAAAAACTGATCTAACAGTTACCCAATGCCTATAAATTGACTCACCTGAATCATCTAGAAGAGCACAAATGGTTAGCCCACACCGCTGCCATGAGTTCATAAGAAGCAAATGCTAGGTGACAAGTAATAGGAAATCGAGTTTCTATATGCAGATGGCGTTATGATGACAGGGCATACTCGAGGCTCTTTTGGGTCTGGGTGCAGGAAGCCAACCCGTGCTTCCAAGCCTAGAAGGTGGGTAGCAGCCAAAGGCTTTGTGGGCCCGGGAAGGGGGAGAGCGCTCTGGAGCCAGATGAAGTAGGCTCACATGCTAGCTTTGCCACTGGAACGTGCACTTGGCCTCCCTGGGTCTGTCTGTCCACCTGTCCTATGTGAGGAGTACCTTCTCACCAGGTTCCTGAGAGCACGGGTGACCTGAGGTATGTACACTGATCACATGTGCTATCCTTTTGCTTTCACCTAAGGACTGGATCATCGCACCCAAGGGCTACGCCGCCAACTACTGTGACGGAGAATGCTCCTTCCCACTCAACGCGCACATGAACGCAACGAACCACGCGATTGTGCAGACGCTGGTAAGTGCCCAGGGACCCCTCTCATGTTAGAGGCAGCAGTAAGCCGAGACCAGGCATGGCTTCTGATGGTGCCTTTCCCCTTCTGTCTCACAACAGGTTCACCTTATGAATCCCGAGTATGTCCCCAAACCATGCTGCGCGCCAACCAAACTGAATGCCATCTCAGTTCTTTACTTTGATGACAACTCCAATGTCATCTTAAAAAAATACAGGAATATGGTTGTCAGAGCTTGTGGATGCCACTAACTCCAAACCAGCTGCTGGGGACACAGAGACTGACTTGGGTTCCCAGGTGACATCTGCCTTAAAAAAAGGAAAACATGCAGGAGCACGGCGAAGGGGGAGGCAAGGCTTTGAAGCTGCCCCAGGCTGGCCGGTGCCTTAGTGCCCAAGATTTTCAAGGGCCTCGTGGAGAATTGGCTCACGCAGTACATAACGTGGGTAGATGCTGGTCTGCAAGAAGCGGGGTTTGGATGTCTGTAGTATGAAGTCTGGGAACTTTAGAAACATAACATGGAAGGGTTCCCCCCCCAAAAAAAAAGAAGAGCCCACCAGAATTAGTTTTAGCTTTAGATCAAGCTATTTGTGGTGTTAGTGAGTCAATAGGGAAAATCATCTTAAAGGAGTAAGAGTATTCTTGGCTAAAGTTATCGACCCATTCTGTAGCATCAGAAGTAAGTCTGTATAGATAACTGGAATTGGGGGGAGTGCCCCTCTTCACAGCAGTGAAGTCTCACGCAGGGTCAGCAGCCCGGGCCATCCCAGGGCTGTGTGAAGTGCCTTTTCTCTCCACCCCGGCCCTTAGCATTTGTGCTGGAATTCTGTCGATGTGAAAATACACTTACATTGGTCAAACCAACCATGTCATTTCCACACCGCACCCCCCCCCATTAGCTGTTCTCCTTGCTAGCGCCCACAGCTGAGCGAGCGGGTATTGGGGTGAGGCCGCAGGGGGCAGGTCAGCCGGGTGCTGCGGGAAACCAGTGCTGCGCCCCTTCTCTCGCAGAATAGCTCTTGGAAAAGCACATGAACTCCAGGAACGTCAGCTCTAATAATTCACCTATTTCGGTCACATGGTTCTTTACCTTTTCCTCGACAGCATGCCAGGTGGCGGGGTTAGAACCCAAAAAGGACACAAAATGGGGAAAGACCCTCTTCCCCCCAACCCCGGCCCACCAGGAGAGGGTCTGGATGGGCATGCCGTTAGGAACCTGAATCCCAGTTTTCTCTTGTAGAAAGGAAGACTCAGATGAAATCATAGAATATTTTTAAAGTGTCTTTTTCACAATCATGTACTAGGAAGCCAATTTCATACTAAACTGATTAAATAATACATTTATGATCTAAAACTGTTTGCACTTACAGCTTTTTTGTAAATATAAAGTATAATTTATTGTCTATTTTATATCTGTTTTGCTGTAACATTTAAGGAAAGACCAGACTTTTTTTTTTTTAAAAAGAGTTTATTTAGAAAGTATCATAGTGTAAACAAATTGTACCACTTGGATTTTCTTTTAATACAAGACTCATGATGCAAAGCTGAAGCCACTCATGAGGATTGTGCTTCTCTAGAAAGTTGGGGTTTTTAAAAGAACATCTGTGAACCATACATAATTAATAAAGATTTCCTTTAAGGCAGAGGCTGGCCGAGATCCTGCTCTGTTGTCTTCTGCCGCAGACAGCAGAAGTGGTCTTGTTTCTCAGATTCCCACCACCAGTGACTGCGTGTGCACAGACGGCGCCCACCCTGAGCATGGGCAGTGGGGCAAAGAGTGCTGGAGACAGAGGGATTATGAGGAGAAGTAACCTGATGGCAAGGAACATTCAGGTACATATCTTAAGGGAGCCTAGTCTGACGGGTGCTTATTTTCAAGTGTGACAGTAAAAGTGCTGAACAGCCAGGACGACATGGCTTACGAGGGTGCCCGCATGGGCAGTACTACAGCCCGGGTCAGCCCTGACCCAGCCCCGCCTACCTCAGACTTTGGCCTTGAGGCCAGCTGAGTCCCACTCATGACACACACAGAGCTGACCTCTTCCGAGGCAGACAGAGCACAGTAAGCCCCTACACCACCTTGGAGCTGCCTACAGCTGGTGGGTCTCTCTGGTCCCGAAACCCGGGCCTGGGAAGGCTCACCTCAGCCCTCTGGCCCCGGGGTGACAACCACCAGAACTGTTGTAGGAGTTAACAGAATAGTCAGGACAAGCCTTGTGGAACTTTCCATGCCCACATTTTCTGCGGGAGACATCAAGTCTTTGTGATGCCCTAACTAAAGAAGTCTCGCAAGGGGTAACAGAAGCATGGACACACACACACACACACACGAGATTATGGCACCAGCATTCTCTTACTCAGGCACGTGTCAGAAGTACCATTGCTTTCAGGATGGCTGACCTCTCGCAAGGAGAGGAGCATTGACAAAAACAGCAAGGCCAGGGGTGGACGTGGAGGTATCTTCCAGAGGTGTGGGGTTTCTTCTGTTTTTAGATCTGCTCCAAGCTACTGACCAACCAACCACATTATGAAGAAGTTAGTTTTGACCTTCAGATCAGAGGAGTATCACTACTGTCACCTTTCCAGGACTCGTGGGCAGTCCCAAACAATGCTTTAGGTGATACGTTCACCAGAATCACTCAGGAGCCAAAAACAGCTCAGCAATTTGATTTTCCTCAACTCTATTTTAGTCTCAAAGGAAACCATTTAGATTCATCAAGAGAAGGGGAAAGGGGATGACTGATCGCCACAGAAAATATTTAGTGAAGGGATCATGACTTATGTGTTTACTTAGAGAAACTCAGAGAATCTGTAGAGTGTGTTGGCTTAAAAAACACACACACAAAGAAGAAGATACCGCAAGTTTAGTACATTCAGCTCTCTGAAAAACCACCACGTGAGAGTCCACAACACCTGCGTGACTCGGCTCCAGCAACCGGGGCACGCGAGGCCGGGCAACTGGCGAGCGGGCGCTACAGCTCGTCCCTGGCCTGCCGGAGGACAAAGTGCTGCAGCGAGTCAAGGTCTCTGCCTCCGTTGTGCTCGCTGACCTTCTGCCCTCCGCGGAAAAGCAACAGTGTGGGATAGCCTCGTACCTTCAAAAAAACAAAAAAAACAAGTATGAAGACCAGTGGTCCAGGTCACACACAAATTGCTTCTTAAGTAAAACCAGAGAAACTCCTCAAAAGTTGTGACCAGGAAAGTCTATGGTTAAATTTTTAAAAGGTACAGACCATTTGAAAAGTACAAGGAAGCAAAGCCTTGGGGCTCCTCACTTTCCCGTCCAAGAGCACAATCGAGATCAGTGTCAAAGGAAGGACTTGCCCCCAAAAGGAGAGCTTCTGGAGCTTTCTTGCACAGACCATCACCTGGGGCCCCAGTGAACAGGCAAGTTCTGATGCAGCAGGTCCAGCCAGGGCCTAAGACTGCATTTCTGACAAGGAGTGGTGGTGACATCCAGCCACTCCGTGGGCCGCACTGCTTGGTAGCAACAGCCTTGAGAATATGCATTTTCCAGTGCAACAGCAACAATGAACTTCTTTTCTGAGACATTAAGGAATGAAAAAAAGGGCAGCTTCTAGTGAGAAGTAAATGTCCATGCTACATCTAGCCTTTTTTTTTTTCCTAAATATTTTATTTATTAAGAGAACATGCACTTGCAAGCAGACTCCCTACTGAGTGTGGAGCCCAAGGTGGGGCTCGATCCTGAGATCATGACCTGAGCCGCAATCAAGAGTCAGATACTCGACCCCATTGAGCACCCAGGCGCCCCTAAGTCTATTCTCAAGCGAATAAGGTAAGAAGCGCCAGAGCCTCACAGGGCTTTCAGAAAACAATGCAAAAGTGAAAACGTAAATTGCAAATCTCTTGGGTGCTCAGATCGTGCTATCAGCTCCGGAAGCGGCAGAAGTTAAACAGAAAGACCCAAGCACAGGCTCGCTTGCTGGGACGGCCCTTTCAGGAGGAAGTTCAACTGTTTCCCTTATTCGACCATGGACTTTAGAACACAGGCTTATGTCTGAAAAATAAGCCACTCAGAGGCTTGAGACGAAGGCTTAGGTCAGCTGACTGCTGGGCCAGCCGGAGAGGCCGTGGAGGTGGCACCCTGTTCCCAAGCCCGGACTCTCATTACTGCCCGGACTTGCGTGCGGACAGCAAGACCTCAAATCCCCAGTGAACGGTGGATCGCTAATGGGAGGGAAAGCCTTTCCTTCAACAGAGCATCCCTTTTGCTTTTCAAAATGAGAACAAAGCAAGAACTTCAACAGGACACGAGGAACACTGGTGGAGAAGACAGGGGCAGTGATGGTCGCTGGGTAGGGCCCAGAGGACAGCTCCATGTGGGTGTGCTCCCCACGCTCAGCCCCCGGGGAGGCCTTTCAGCCACATGTACCCACCGAGTACTTGCTGCAAATGTTCCGCTCTGCAGTGCAGTCCACCTCGGCGATCTTGACCTCTGCCAGACCAGGGAATTCCTTTCTGGAGAGCTCCTCCCACGTCGGGGCCAGATTCTTACAATGACCACACCTGGGAAGGGAACGACGACGGCTTTGTGGGAGTCCTGGGTCACGCTCCCTCACCTACAGTTCCCTGCCAAGCCCAGCCCTGTGTCTCTGTGTGAGGCAGTCGCCAATGGTATAGAAATTTATAAAACATCAAATTCTCCCACTGGGTGCACTAATGTTTCCTCCTCCTCTGTCCCAAACAAGGAATTCAAAGTCAGTCCGAAGTAGACTTTTGGATAACCTAGTGGAAGCAAGCTGGTCTGGAAGCAAGTTGAGATTCTGAGACCCTGTCCAAGAAGTGGTGACCAGAGCTAAGTGGCCTACAAATGAACCAGACACAACATGAGCACAAGGTGATGGACAGGAAGCAAAACCAACTCCACACATTTTTTTTAAAAAGTGCTTCATTTTAGAATTGATCGCTATAGTCTTGAAATTTTAAGACAATGTAGAAGCTTCCCTGAGCACCTGTCCTCCTACCCATTACTTGATCCATATAACTTCAGGGTTTTATTAAAAAATAGAAAATAATAGATTTAAAAACATCATTGAGTAGTGTTCCTATTTTTCTTTAAAGATTTTAGAAAGAGAGCAAGCAGGGGGAGGGGCAGAGAGAGAGGGCGAGCATCCCAAGCAGATCCCTGCTGTGTACAGAGTCCAGCATGGGACTTGATCTCACAACCCTGAGATCATGACCTGAGTTGAAAGCAAGAGTCAGATGCTTAATTGACTGCGCCCCCCCTTTTTAAAAGATTTTATTTATTTATTTGGCAGCGAGATAAGAGAGCACGTGTAGGCAGAGCAGCAGGCAGAGGCAGAGGGAGAAGCAGGATCCTCGTGAGCAGGAAGCCCGATGTAGGGCTCGATCCCAGGACCCTGCGATCATGACCTGAGCTGAAGGCAGCCGTTTAATTGACCGAGCCCCCCAGGCACCCACCTGTTTCTATTCTTTAAGGATAAACACTGACAAAGCATGGGAGTCATGTGCTCACGGACTTGTCTGCCACTGTGGTTTCTCCTGAACACTGAGTGGCACCGGCTATAGAGGAGCTTACTTGTGTCTGTTTAGAAATAGAACCTCACACTCTCCTTGAGACTCTGCTCTTGTAAGTGGATTGTTTGTGAAGACAAGGCATTCTTCCCATTTTACTGCTGAGAAAACTGAGGGTCAAAGGAAAGAAAGGGCATGCAGAGTGACAGCCGTGTAAGTCTCGGCACCTGCCATCATCCCCACTTCAGGTAGCCCTGGTCACAAACTGGCTGTCCTCCCTTTGTACCCTGGTCTCCGAGGACCATGAGGCGCAAAGATTCTGGTAACTGGGTAATGCATGGAATGGCCCCACCAGATCTCTACTGGGCTTCTCGACAAGGTCCAAGAGACTAAGTAGCAAAGCTACATCGTGATGTTCGTGGTTAACCAAAAAAAATCAATCTACTTGGGAAACGACAGATACCACAAAATTCAAGTTTTATATGGCCATCCTAACTCTCCATTTTCATGTTTTCCCCAAAACACAAGTTTGAAATACACTGACTCATTCTCCATAAATAACTGTTTATGAATACCAAACCTCAACCGAGTGGAACAGAGGCACAAACAACCCCCTTTTATTTCCTACGACAGAACCCACGTGTAAATGTAGCATCTGCCCAACACCGAGCCTAGAGTGCAGGCCGATGAGGGGGAGACGGTGATGGACTCGAGCGCACTGGGGCGGAGCAGTTTCTAATTAAACAGCCACTTACCACGGAGCATAAAACTTAACGAAGGTTATTCCTTCTGCAATGGTGTCCTCGAAGTTCTTTTCCGTGAGTGCCAACACGGTGCCCTGCAAGGGAGGGAAAAGCCGTGGCAAACCTGCATCACTTAGAGCCGGGCAGGGCCATGCTTTGGGGTGGCAGAAATACAATTCCGTAATCTTTTTAAAATGCTGTCATGCAAGGTCATACAAAAATACAGAACTCACATATCACAAGCCACACAAGAAGGGCCCATGAGTCATCACAGGCTCCCCAGGTCCTGAGCCCAGGAGATGCTTTGAGAAGGTGGCAAGACCCAAGCCAGCACTGCCCCCGGCCAGCCTGAGCGGGTTCCGGTGCAGCTGCTGCTGTCTGGGGCCCCAGGGTTGGGAGCAGGGGACTGTGCGGCCCCAGGCTCGGAGCCTCCCACACCGACAGGAGGAGTCGGACACCCCCACGGAGCAGCCCCCCGATGTGGGTGCACAAGTGATCTCCCCAGCTATCTGCCACCTGCTCTCCCAGCGCGGCGATCTGTAAAAGTGACCTTCTCTGTGTGCTGACCTCACAGCTGACGGCCGCCCATCCACAGGCGAGGACGTGTGTGCTACCCATCACAGGCTGCATTCTGTCTTTGAGTTCAAAGGGAATGTGCAAACCGTTCATCTCCCCTCTGGCTGGAGGGTGACAGGGGAAGGTGCCACGGGGCCGTGTGCTCTAAGGCAATCTGGTCTTGACGGTTCTTCACAGAATTACATCCACGTGTTTCTCCAGAAACGGATCCGCGACTGTCTCCCAAGAGCAAGACTGTGAGGATTTACCATGTGGCTAAACGTACCAGGCCTGCTCCCCTCGAGTCTGGCATCGAGGAACGCGTGGCAGCGACGGGGAGGCAAAGCCATCGAGGGCCGCGGCAGCGCGCCACCACCTGTCTTTATGTCCAGAAACACGACGCCACGCTCACTGAAAGACCTACTTCGTGCCGGAAAACTAACAGAAACTGGTCTGCATGTGACGCAAACCCCCAAAGGACAGAATTATATTCAATCTGGGATGCCCTTCAGAGCCACCATGACACACACACTCCCCTAACATACGTGGTCGCAGCTACTACAAAATCGTTTGTTTGCTTCTTAAACCAGAACTTCCACTTTGAACGAACACCCAGGTAGTCTCCCACCTAAGAATCCCACTAAGGGACGGGCTGTGGGGTCGAGGAGGCCCATTACTGTCCCCACTCCAGGCTGGGGCAGATGACTCGTTTTTTTCCAATTCCAAACCACCAGGGCTCAGGGAACGATGGACCCAGCAAGTCAGGATCTGTTAAGTACATGCTGAGGGGTCACGCTCACTGCGCTGGCCCCGCGGTACCAGGGCACACTGCCCCCTTCTTTGCCGATCCCCTCCTGGTGTCCCAGCTAAGAACTTGGCCTGCTATGCTGTGTAGTTATAGAAACTGAAGGAGCAACGTGAATATTCTGTTCTGGAAATAACGATAAACAGACCTTACGGTTCTTAGCGAGGCCACCAAGCACAGTTTTCCTGGAAAGACATTATTTTGACTTTCTCTAAAGAACGTCCTTTCCACCCACAGCTTCAGCCTTGGCCTCCACATCCCCACCTGACTGCAGACACACACACCTGCGGATGTCGGCTCCAGAGCCCCATTTAACCGGTCAGCGGCCCTCCCCACCCACTGCCACCACAGCCCTGAAAATCAACAACTCAACCTGCACTCCCCGCCTGCTTCCCCGCCCCAGCGCTTCTCTCCCCTCCCCGGGTCCCAGCGCCCACTAGGTCTGCCGGAGCCCCCGTCGTCCCCTCAGAGGCCACCTTCCCGACTGCACTCAGGAGAGTGGGGCTCCTTAAGCTTCCTGCCTCTGCCCCTCTACCCCCGGCCACAGCCTCCATTCGGGGTGTCTCCTCATCCTGTTGGTCTAATACACTGGTTTTCCATGTCTTTCTGCCAGGCAGGCATCTAAAATGCAAATCGGTCAAAGGCCCCCACTGGCTCCCAGTAAGTACAGGGTGAAGGTCAGAATCCTTGGCTGGCCGACAACGTCCTCCACGACCCGTGTCCTACACCTCCGCTCTGGCCTCCCGCACCGCACCCCTCATCCTCCTCTTCCCCCTCCCTCCACCCGACTGCTGGCCGCCTGCCCCAAACGTGCCCGGCTGAGTCACACCCACGTGCTTCTGCTCACGCTCCCTCCTCTACTGGACAAGCCTTGACTCTCCGGCAAACACCAATTCCCCTTTCAGCTCTTGGCCGCACTTCCTACCCATCTGCCCCCAGCTCTCTCAGCCCACCATGACCGGCCAGGCACACACACGTGGGGACCGATTGCGTGCGTCCTCCTCTGTCGGCCCCACCAGACTCAGCCCCCTTCACAAGTAGGAAGGTGGTCTTATTTGCTTTGGTTTCCTGGTGGCCAGGGACAGTGCCTGAAACATGCTCAATAAATGCACATGTGAATCTAGAACCTTCCGCTCTCTCAACGCAGACTGCGTGCCTCAGCAAAGGAAACGCGCTAGGCCAGGCTGCCTCTCGGTTCCGGGGCACCATCCTCGCTGCGGCAGATCACCCGGGGCCTCACCAAGGGTTCAAGTCCAATTACCACAGCAGGTGATGGAAACAAACAGAAGCGGGGCGGGGGGCTACCTGACGGCAGCCAACTTTCCCAGCAAATGCCCTCAAGTACAGTGGTTACCGAATCAAAGGGATGAGCTTCCCAGAGCTTCTGCCACCAAATGCTCTTAGGATGGGTCTCACATCTATTTCAGAGACGCTCCTTGCTTTAGACCTTACAAGCATGTGAAAGTGGCTGAAGAAAACTTCACGTGTGAAAGTTGACTGCAGCCAGACCCCCTGTTGTCGTGCGGCCCGGAGCGCGGGAGGACAGTGCCCTCCAGGGGCCGTGGCTGGCCCTCCTGACCGCAACAGGCACCCACCTGGGCCACAGGCTCAGGGGCCAGCGCCGGGGCCTCTGAAGGCTGGACGCTCTCTGGGGCCTCCGGCTCTGTGCTCTGCAGCTGGGAATCCACGTACTCCCGCAGGGACTCCAAATCCCGCTTTCCTTTGTACTGGTCAATCTGTCCGAGGGAAGAGCCACACAAAAATGCAGTCAATCAGACACTTAATGCTCTCACTCAAACCTCCTCCCGGCCCGCGCACCCATGTGAGACCTCCATCAGGTGTCTCCCCGGTGGGGGTGCGAACCGTGCCACGTCTGCACGCTCAGATTTACACAGGAGGGTGCAGATGGCAAAGCAAACATTTTTGCTTTGGTGACAGCTACAGCGCCTGTCTTCCGCAGGGATCTGGTCACGAAGTTGGAGCCCGCTCCAGCAGGCCAGCAGCAGACCGTTGGCCTGGGTGAGCCCCTTACTGGCAGCCGGCGTTAACCCCACTCAAAGGTCATTCTGGATTATGCTAGTGCTCACTTGAGCAACTGAAATGTGTCAAAACAGCAGGATGACTGACGGGTTTTGTCAACTACCCAAATCTTATCAAGTAAGAGACACTTTTTCATTATTATGTCTGCCTTTAAACCAGTGCCCAGCAGTCCACAGGGGTACCTCGCCACAGCCCACTTGGACTAAGAGAAACGCCAGCTCTCCACACCACAACCTGAAGACGTACCTTTTGTCCGTCTCGGAACCACAGAAGAGTAGGATAGCCACGAACTTGGTTTCCCGAACAGAGTTCATAGTGCTGTGTACAATCAACCTAAAGACAAAGTAAGACCACATTCACCATTTGTTTCCTCAGGAAGCTTCCTGACACGTGGGTTACCGGACACTCCAGACCTCACGTACCTGGCTTGTGGCACCTCCCCCAGCAAGGTGCAGTCTGGGGAGAGACTCCCTAAAAGCCAGCCCAGATGACACTGAGCTAAGGGGGCAGGGGATGAAATGTCCTTTAGAGAAATGACATACTCAGCTCACCTAAAAATGCTGATGTTTAGGAAGTCACATTCTACCTGGAGCTGGTTAGCAGCTGGGGGAGAGGAGCCTCCCCTCTCTCATAGGAGGGGAAGCCTGGTCATGTGTGACCGAGGCCCACGCCAAGGCTAGCCTGTGTCCTCTCACGCCCAAACTTGGAGAGTTTTGGAATCAAGTAGAAGCAAGGAGTCAGTTCTAAATAGGAGTATTTGGTATAAAGACAACTGAAAAGATGTCAAATTAGGATTATAAAACGTTCTTAACTCTATTAGCTCAATTTACCAACTATCGCAGCTTTTTAAATTTATTTCATTTAAATCTCATCAAGATTCTGCCTGTTCAACACTTTCATGGAACACTTTATCCTAAGTCACTTCTTCTTTAACTCCTACTGGCATTAAGGTCAGCTATGTGGGACACTCAGTTGTTCTTCACCACGTCTACGAAGTAGGATAGAAATACCACGTTCACATGTAAGACTGGAAGTCAGCAGTTAAAGTATTAAAGGGAAATCTCAAATCTGGGTGGGGGGCATTCCAGGGTCCCATCTAACCTGGCCACAGGCGTGTCCAGAGATGAAGGGCCACAGCCTGGATGGGCAGACTGGGTCCGCTCATGCCTGATTCTATGAGAAACCGTTACTGACATGAGCTCGAAATAATCTCCCATAAAAATTCAAAAAATAATTTAAGGATACAAGGAATTGAGAAGATAGAGGACAAGAAAATTATTACTTCCATGAAATGTTCAATAAATAAAAAAGTACCACACACGTAACTAGAACACGTAATTGGAAGTACTTAACAGGCAACAGTGAAAACAGTGAAAATCCGCTGAACTCACAACTATTAGAACTGACCAGGTATTTGATCTGTGCCAACCGTCCTACTAGGAACCTGACTTTCATCCACACCACGCACCACCAATCAGGTCTCCCCGTGATTTTGCAAAGGTGGAGACTGGGGTATGGAGAAGCGGCCGCAGGCTGGCTGGGCAGGTCTATGCGGTTCCTGAGCTCACACTCTTGACCATCTCCCTGCCCTGGGCAGAGCATCTCACTTAGTGCAGTTCCTGGACATGCAGCATTACTTCTGTATACAAATCAGCCCTTTGGCAAAGTAAAAAATGAGATTTTTGTAAAAGGAAACCCATGCCTGGATGTCTGGTGGGTGCCAAAGGCAGGGTGAGATTAAAAGTGTTTGATGGCCCAGGAGCTGCTCTGGATATTTCCAGAAAATCCACTTATACAGAAGTTGTTAGACGGTACTCCTGGCTTCTCTCTGCCAAGTGGGGAAAGCTGGAAAGACTCCCGGGCAGCAGGGAAAGCTGGGGCTCACCAGAGCGGGGGGGGCCTTCTGCAGGCCTCTGTGAGCACGGAGCCGGGGCTCCTCCAGGTGACAGCTCTTGGGTGAGGTCAAACGTGGATGGCCTCCAAGTCCGGCCAGTGAACATTCACAGGCTGTGCCCCATATCTTTGCAGAAACGGCTCTGGGGCTGCCAATTCAGAATTGGCCATTGCTTCAAAATAAACAAAGGAGCCAGAGCCATAATTTATCTTTAGGCTGTGGAAAAGCCAGCACATTTGAAACCAGGCTGCCATCTGTGAAGGTGAAATGAATTATCAAGTGGCACACTAAATGGAATTAATAAATCAAGTTTGCGACTTTGCACACAGAATGAATAATGGGCTACTCTGCTAATTAATCCAGCCAAAGGCGGTCTATTTCCAGTTTAATAAGGGCTTTCACTTACCTTGCCAATCTTGACAGTTTCAGAATGTTCAAGGCCCAGGGCCAGCTGCTCCCAGGTTGGAGCCAGAGCTTTGCAGTGACCACACCACGGAGCGAAGAACTTGATAAAGTGGTCGCCTTCACGAAGCGCCAGGGCAGAGAAGGGAGAAGGAGGTAACTGACGTCATCCCTTGCTAGAGACTGAATGGAAGCATCTGATCTTTGTCCCGCTGCCAGTGTCAGTGCGTACCCTTTAACTGGCAAAACGTGACTCAGTCGAATAAGTCTGTATCTGTGAGTTCACGGGATCCTCAAAACAAAATCTACTCTGCCATCTCTGGAGGACAATAGGGAACAGACTCAGTATTTGAAGAACCGGCAATAACGGGGAAGGCTCGGGCAATGATCCCATCTGTCTTGTGCAAACTGCGCCACTGGAAAACTAGCTGATATGTGAGAGCAAGTCTCTTTCCTTAAAACAATGAAGGAAGGAGGTTTTAATTAGAACATCAGCATCTGGCAACCCAAATAAATGAACGGACTGAGGGAAACGTACTTAAACGCACCACGGGGACACAACTGGCCAAGTCCAGACTGGGAATTCTACAGGTCTGATGACCCACGTGCTCAGCCACCAGGACGCACGGAAGAAAAAGAGATGTTGGGGGGACGCGTAGACTGGGACTCAACAGAGACGTATGTGAAAGAAAAAACAAAGTAAACTGCAGCGTTAGGAATGCACATTGGGACGGTGAATGACACAGGGAGGAGAGGCTGGCAGTTTTAGTCCCTGAACCGGACTGTGGTTACAGAGCGACCACTCCATCACAGTTCACTAAGGTCTATGTTTTCTGTATCTGTGTTTTATTTGACAATAAAACAGAAGGTTTTAAAACCTGAGTAACACTCCTTTGGCTAGAAGAACAAAACACAAACCCACACAAAATCATTATCTGGATACTGAAGATTTTTTCTAGGCTCTTCTACCTTGACCAGCCGATGACCTAAAAGATGTCAGGCTGAGACCAGACCCGAATGAGGGTGTGCCTGGGGAGGGAACAAACCAGCTAGCACCAAAACGGGATCCACGCTCCCAGAAGGACGCTGCTATGCCACACACTCATGGCAGTTTTCTCACCACAGTGGGAACTCGTTTAAGGGAAATGGTGAAAACTTGATTCAAAAAATGAGCAACGGATCTGCGAGGCTGAAGCCATGTCTCTCTGGACAGGCACAGCCCTGACTAACCCTGTGCTGTGAGGTGGGGTTGGGATGTCTGGGAAGGCCCGACTAGAGGAGCGGGGCAGCTGTGAGGGCGGGAGGCAACTGTCGCTCTCTGAGGACAGAGTCTCCTGCAAGCAGCTCAAGGTGGCGCTTCAACAATCCACCCTTCAGGTGTGACTTGCTTAGGGAGGGACCCATCTGGGCTCGTGGGGTAACCCCTTTCGGGGAAAACACCCCGAAACTCCACAGTCCGCGCCCTGGTCCGAATAACCACCTTGGACATGCAGGAACACGCTGACAGCATCACAGACACTCCTGCGGACCCTGAGTGTGGTAGGTCTCGACTCACAGCGGTATGAAGTCACAAGGCCAGGCACAAGTTTAAACCCTTTTCGTGATGCTTCCAACCCAGTGTTCCGGGAGGATTTCCCTCCGTGGCAGCATTTGAGAAGAGAGACCAGGAAGGCAGCCGAATCTGCTTTCAAGTCAGTCGGTGCTGAGCCAACTGTCCAGAAATGTGTGACCAAAGGACCTACTCGCCACTTATGTTAGAGATCGTATATAGACCGTTTTGATATTTAGGGGACCGTTTTCAAAAGAAAGAGAAGTGATGCAGAAAAATATTTTAGCTGTCAACGGATTCACAAGTTATAATGGTCCCGCTAAATTCGAAGTTAAACACGTAAGAGAGCTTTTGTTTCTGCCCCAGGGCAGTAAGTGTATGATTCACGTTAATATAAACAAACTTTCCTATCCAAGGACGCACTGTCCAGCTGGTGGACAAATTCAGTGTGCCTGCTCACCTGTGAGCTTTCCACGACCCAAGGCTTCGGCTAACACTAAAACTGGCATTTCTTGAAGGACACAGACGAAAGGAGAAATCCTTTCCAAGAGGAAAAGCACTGCACAAGGATGTTCACGGGTCTCGAAGACAGAAACCATGGCTCAGTGCCACAGATGTCATCCGCGGGCCCGCGAGTGCCATCAAGGAAAAGCCCAGCAAATCGAGCAGTGGTGAACGGTCAGTCGTTCTGAGAGGTGTGTATCCCGCCAGGAACAGCCGTGAGAGTCACCCAACATACCTTGCGCCACGTGCAGCTCAAAGTTGCTCGCCGACAGCTCGTACAGTCCCTGCTTGCGCTCAGGGGCTCTGGGAGGTTCTGCTTCTGGCTCTGGTGTCTAACAGGGAGAAACAAAACAACAGTCATTGGGTTTGTATGCAAAGGCAGAGTGAAACCCACTGAGGAGGTGACCTGTGTCCGTCTAGAACCTTCTACAGATCTCCTCCCTCATCTGACTACATCAAACCTTTGTGGGATGCTGCTGTGTTGAGGGAACCCAAGGCAGGAATGGACTCTCAGGGCTCTGGACCCTTTGGCAGGAAGCCCCTCAGCAGCCTTACCCTGGGACTGGCACTCAAGGCAGCGGGTGACCACCGTCCCCACCCCAACCTGCCCTCTGCTGCCCCCAAGCCCAACTGAACAGAGCAGGCAAACCAAAAGGGCAGGCCCAGCCCACACAGGCACACTGCCCTGTTGTTCACAGTGTGACCTCAGATTCCACGGGGGAACGCAGGATGATGTCCCTGGCGGGCTGCAGCGCCCGCAGATACAGAAGCGACCAAACACACGGAGTGGAGAAGGAGAAGCGTCAGCGGACGGGAGGGCCCGGCGCGCCTCAGTGCACACAGGCGGTGGGTGATGAGACCGTGAAGGGCTGGTAAAGGGACAAACGGGGCAGGAGGGAGGACAAGGCAGGCGCCCGGCAGGCAGTGCCAGAGAAGCATAGAGTTGCACTCTTTAGTTCACACCACGGAGTCTGGGACAGAAACCCGCAACACGGGAGTGAGAAGCAGCTTTTCAAAGGACGCTTCTGCCAGCATCTGAGCAGGCACCGTCGTGTGCAGCTGGACGGTTACCACAGTACCACATGACTCCCGACCGCGCAGCTCCACAGCTGTGGCCTCCAGCCAAAGCGACTCAAGGGTGACAAAAAGATCACATAGTCACCATTTTGCTACAGACACATGGATGCAGGTTACTCAATTTTCTATCTGGCAGCTCATGTTTCTCTGAAAAAGAATACTGGGGCGCCTGGGCGGCTCAGTCAGTTAAGCACTGCCTTTAGCTCAGGTCAGGATCCCGGGGCCCTGGGATCGAGCCCCGCTTCTCTCTCTCCTCCCCACTCGTGTGGGCACATGTGCGCTCTCTCTCTCAAATAAAAATCTTAAAAAAAAAAAAAAAAAGACAAAGAATATCCCAATTAAATCATTAAAAGTTTAAAAGTGCTGACAGCTCAAAGCTGTGCAGAGTTGTAATCAGAAAGCACCAGGAAGATGTTCATGCAGCTGTGGGCCTGTACAGACGTGCAAAGTGCTAGGTACTTCCACAAAAAGATGCCCAACAGAATGGTGACTAGAGTCAGTGAGTTCCCAGAAGGTAAGAAACTCCATGTCACCTTTTGTAAGATAATCAAAGGGCTTTCCGTATTTTTCATTGTTAAAGTGCTCATATACAGCACTGAGGGGGCACTGTCACTTCCTGGGCCCCATGGCTCGTACCGGGGCAGCCCCACTGCCTTGGCAAGAACGTGGTATGTCACAGACACGAGCACACAGGCACAGACACGGACACACTCTCACCCTGCTGCTCACAATATCAGCTTACAGATTCTTAAGAAAGTGACCAGGCAATATTCATCAACAGCCATAAAAGAAGTCTGCCTTTTTTTTTTCCCTTTGCATTGCAATTTCATGTCCAGTAATAGATTCTAAAAACATCACCCAAAAGTAGGAAAAAAATGTCTTTTACAAAGATTAACATGTTCCTTATGTATCTCTCATTAAAAAATTATAAATAACCTAACTATCCATTGACAGAGAAGAGTGGAATTGTGGCAAATCCACATGACAATATAAAACACTATCAATATAAAGATGTAACCATATAAAAATATTGTTTGTGAAATGAACCATGTTTATATGACTAACCGTTTAAGAAAAAAAAAAATACAGAAACAAACAGGGCAATCTCAAAGTTGGAAGTAGTGGGTCTTCTTTTGAGCTTCTTTAATATTGCCACAACACTAGGGAGGTAATCTAAATTTATCCTATTTCCATATACAACATCATCAAGTTACTTAGGTACAGATAGAGATGAAGAACTTTTTAAAAAGTTTCCACATACAATAAAAAGCAAGTTCTTTGGAAAGAATTTTCGGTTTGCAGTATCAGGTTTGAGTGTTTGAACTTTCCTCCAATCAGGCACATTGCCACTGTTTCCAGCAATTGTGGGAGATCTCTACTGCTGACACGGGGATCCCACGCAGCCATGTCCCTTCCGCCTGGAGGGGACACAACCCTTCCCCTCAGCCCTTCCTAGCCTGCCATGGGGCTGCCACCACCCAAAAGGGGAGCTTGGGGCACCAGATGAATGCCTTCTGCCATCCTGATACTGGCTACTTGTTTCCTGAATAAAGTCATCACAGAAGGCTGGCTTTTTGGTGGAAAAAAATATTGACAAAAAATATAAATGTATCTTGAAAGGTTCTTTTGAGACTATTAACCCCTCTTTAAAAATCCTCCAATCAGAGAACAATTTCACAGAGGAAACAATGTGTAGTTTAAATCTATATGAAAGTTCCACCTGCTCATGTAACTCTCTGGCCATGACAAAGATGCAAATCGACTCTCTGAGAGGTCTGTGGTTTTCCCTGTTACCTAAAATTAGATAAGTCTCTGCTTCACACTCACACAATGCCATGCAGGTAGAGGGAAAACGACACCCGAGTAGCAGGTGGTTTTCTGATGAAGCAGGACATCTACACAGAATGTGGGGGAGGGGGGCAAGGGACCACATGGTCACCCGGGAAGTGACTCCAGTAGCAGCAGAGGCCCCCAGAACCTGCTGGAACTGCACACGGGCACGGAGCCCCTTCAAGGCAGGAGTGCCTACCTCACCCGACAGAGCGGCCTGACTCAACTGTTCCACTGAGATAACACGGAGAGACGTCAGATGCTCTCACCGTTTCATCTGAATCACCCAGCATGGGACACTGGTCATCCTCCCAGACCCTAATCAACACACGGCCACAAACCGTTCCATCCCAACCCAGCCTCCGTGGGCCTGAGCACTGTGCATTAAGTAGAAGGCACCACACACGGAGGGACACTTAATGGTTTACGACCATAACGATGTGTGACAAAACTAAGACTCCCGACGTTAATCTGAGGGAGAGGATTATGCAATTTTCTTAGTGATCTTCTACACACAGCCATGTCTTTAAACAGTACCTCAGAAATCAAAGTCTCCACCATTTCCTGGTATCATTACCCCCCGTGCAGGGAGGGCCACGAAGACTCTGAGAGCATGAAGGGTATTTATTTGATGACATGCTTGGCAAAGCCAGTGAGCACCTCGGGGACTGAGAGTCCAGGGGAAAAGAAGGGGGCACCCTGTGGTACAGCTCGCGGCAGCAAGAGAGGGCTGAGGTTGGCCTGGACTGGAGTTCGGGCTTAGGCCTGGCCCCGAACCCAAGTCAACCTGTGACGCTCAAGAACTAGTGTCAATTGTATACATGTGGGAGCGGCACAGGGACTGATGTTAGTTAACAAGTAGTTAACTGTCAGTTAACAAGTAGTAAGTGCATATCTGTGAGACATGCACTGGGACAGTCACAAATGACAGTCTCCGAGGGCTGACTCTGCCACCACACGAGGGCCAGGAGGGCCAGTAAGACCGCACAAGGTCGGCAGGACGGGGAGAACCGCTTAAGTCAGGGGAGCGGCACATGGGACCATCTTCATTACCCTCCTCCTCCTCATTCATACATTACGCACACTCTTCTTTCTACATTTATGCATCTTTGAATATTTCCATAATAAAAATCTTTGTAACAGGTCATCTTTTTCCACTGAAGTATGCAAAGCAGTAGAAACAGAGAACCAAAAGTAGACGGTGTGGTTGTGAGGGGCTGGGGGGACAGTGAGGGGGTTCTGGTGTTCAGAGGGGACAGGGTTTGAGTTCTACGTGGTGAGAAGAGGCCTGGGATTGGCTGCTCAACAGGGTGAAGGCACCCGAGTTCATACCCTGAATCTGTACATTTAAAAAATGGCTAAGATCATCAGTTTGGTATCATGTGTATTTTAGCACAGTGAACAAAAACTGGAAGGGAAAAAAAGTTCATTTTTACTTACAAATGTCAATTAGTTCTAAACGAGTAGAAAGTTGCTTTGAAATGGGAGCCTTAATTTTTCAGCTGAACTGGCCTCTCTGTCACCCTGGAGTGTGGAGAAATGAGGGAAGGGAGAGGGTGGGTGCGGGGAGGCTCCCGTGCACTCACCGCGGGCGCCTCGTTCAGTGTCTGCAGCATCCAGTTCTCCAGCGCCTGGAAGTCTCGAGGGCCCTGATACTTCACAGCTTCTTGGCCAGGCTTGAAAAACTTCAAGCTAAAAGGGCGAGAAAGGACAAGACAGAGATTTTTCAACCTGTCAGAAGGGTCTGCGTAGACGGGACCATCCCGCTGGGACGCCGTCAGGGCACTGTGGCCAGGCACAGACCTGCCACCCTGTGCTAGAACTTGAAGAAAAAGGAGAGCGTGTATCCACTTACTCCCACACTTCTAAAAAGTTTCTTCCCTTACTCAAGAAAAGTAAGAGTGAGCAGAACGCATCAAGTCTGTGAGACCGTGAGCGAAACCCCAAGTGCCTTCGGGGAACGGGCCTTGCGAGCCTCTCCCTGCTGGTTGTTTGCCATCCTTCCTAGGGTTTAGAAGTTATTACATTCTGCATTTGTCAAAAAAGCAAAACTGTACTAGAAATAGCACTGTTGTGCAATAAATGTATTCCCAGGCCATCCTATCTTATAAGACAAGATATATCTTGTCATATAAAACAAGAATATCGAGGTTCTGCAAGAATTTACATTTCCAGCTCTGAGAATAGCCTGGACATTGGTTAGTGTGGCCTATGCATTCCCCACAGAGAAGGAATCTTCTTTTCCTCATGTATTAGCCTCAGACGGTATCTGCACATAGGACACAGAGTGCTTCCCTCAGTGCGCGAGCAGAACACTCTGCCTGTGGCCGACACTGCACTTCTGGATGCTGTGCCCTCCCCCTGGTAATGGAGAAACATGCTCCGGATCAGACCTGACAGAAGGTGTCAAGGATGGCGGGAACATAGGGCGGCTGACGGAGGAAATGACACACAAACTAGCATTCTCTGGCCGGCTGTGCGTCGACATCACCCCTCCCTGCCTATGGCACGTGCTGCACGTCGGCAGCTTGGGGTGTGGTAGCCGCTGTCAGAAGTCAAGACATACAGAGATCGGAGCCGTGCGCTTTGTTCTCCAAAGGCCTTAAAAATGAAGGTTCGTGGGGCACCTGGGTGGCTCAGTGGGTTAAGCCTCTGTCTTCAGCTCAGGTCATGATCTCAGGGTCCTGGGATCGAGTCCCGCATCAGGCTCTCTGCTCAGCAGGGAGCCTGCTTCCCCCCTGCCCCCTCCTGTCTCCCTGTCTACTTGTGACCTCCCTCTCTCTCTTTGGCAAATAAATAAATAAATAAATCTTTAAAACAAAACAAAAAAACGAAGGTTTGTGCTGTGCGTGAAAATCAGTGCAGGGGCTGGAATAAAGCATCACAGGCTCCCAGGCCTCACACCCCGCCCCCACCAAAACCAGATCCTGTGACAGACTTAGGGGATGCCTATTGGGCCTCCAGTGAAGGACAGAGGCCCTGCTTCCTCAGTAGCTTTTACCTTTACAAGCCTAAAAAAAAGCCAAACTCTAGCCAGTCCAACGAGAACATCCTAAACTTCACGAACTTTAACACTCCAAGTGACTGGGAAGCATGATCTCACGATTACGAAAGCCCGCACCCGCCCCTGGGGCCTCGGGAAGCTCTGGAAAGGTTATTCTCACAGAGAGCTAGGAGATGCTTCATGCACACAACCCCCCCACCCCCAGCCACGGTCTCTCTTCCAAGGGGCACCTCCCCCACCAGGGCTCCTCAGAGTGGAAAAGGAGCAGAACCCTCAAAACACTGGGAAGGAGCACTATCGAACTCATTCCCCGGGGTGCCTGGGTGGCTCAATGGGTTAAAACCTCTGCCTTCGGCTCAGGTCATGATCCCAGGATCCTGGGATCAAGCCCCACATCGGGCTCTCTGCTCAGCAGGGAGCCTGCTTCCCTTCCTCTCCCTCTGCCTGCCTCTCTGCCTACTTGTGATCTCTGTCTGTCAAATAAATAGATAAAAATCTTTAAAAAAAAAAAAACACACAACAAACCTCATTCCCCATTTCTCTGTGAACATTTAAATGCTGGAAACCTAACCTGTGACTTTTTCTGATTTGGTCACAGATTAGGTGTGTCAGGAGAGCAACACACAAATAAACAATGTTTTAAAATCTCTTCTTGTTGGACTAGAAATCTTTCCAGCCTGCCCAAGCCTCCTTCAGTTCACAGAGCCTAGGGATAAAATTAGGGTTCCCTTTGCAGACCTTCCCGCCTGACCAGGGCATCTGGCCCCAATCCTCACTGTGGATGGGCTGAAGGAGGTGATGGGGAGATGGCCACAGGGTCCACGCCCTAAGGACAGCCCCAAACTTCCACATGGGAGTCTGCTTTCCCTGGTGATCTGTTTGTCTTTCAAGGAGACTGCGGGAGAGAAAACCTCCATGTGTGGGTCACTCTGGAAACCTGTGATCAAGGTCCTAGCACCACAGAGGAGGTGGTGTTACTGGCTGATTTGTGTCCCCCGAAGCAGATCTGTTGAAATCCCAGCCTCCTGTCCCTCACAGTGTAGCCTTATTTGGAAAGAGGATCTTTAGAGAAGTAAGCAGGTGACAATGAGGCTATCAGGACAGGCCCTAGTCAGGGGTCCCTAGAAAAAGGGGAAAATTTGGCCACGTAGAGAGAGACGTGCTGAGAAAGACAGCCCCGTGAGGACAGAGGACGGGGTGCAGCCCCCACCAGACACTAGGGAGAGGCAAGAAAGGACTCCCCTCTGGGTTTCGGAGGGGTTACAGCTCTGCGGATGCCACGACGCTGGACTGCTGGCCTCCCGAGCTGTGAGACAAGAAGTTTCTGTTCTCTTCAGCCACCTGGTGTGTGCGCTGGGTTCGGCACGGGCAGCAAACCTCCTCTGGCCCTGCCTGGCTCGGTTTCCCCAGAAGATGCAGACTCCTTTACCAGCTCAACAACGGTGACCTCAAAGCACACTGAACCTCCCCAGGAGCGTGAGAACCCGAATTTCCTCCCTGTGCAATCCTGTGTTTCAGTTAAAGGAGCCGGTGACTCCACAGGGCGTGCTTGCATCCGAATTCGTCATCTCCATGTTCATCATCTGATGCGCCTCCCCGAGACGGGCCCCACGCCACAGGAAGCAGAAGCTCCCACAGGTCAGTACACGAACACCCCAACGGACGCGTTCCACTGCAGCACGCCCTGCCTCCTGCATTCTAGGAGGAAAAACCTGTTCTCGGGCACTTGTGCAGGGCTGTGAGGGTCATAGAGTTCCTTCCCCAACAATGTTCAGTGTCGTGTGAGCACACTGCAGTTCTGTAGAAGGACACAAAACCAGTGCACGGTGTTCCTGGAGAGACCGTATCTTCTAAATCAGGACACATGACTCAGTGTGCCTCTTTTAAAATCTGTGAATAACAGGGCACCTGGGTGGCTCAGTCAGTGGAGTGCCCCACCATTGATTTTGGCTCCAGTCATGATCTCAGGGTCATGAGATCGAGCCCCACAGCAGGCTCGGTGCTCAGCACAGAGTCTGTCTGCTTGTCCCTCTCCTCTGCTCCTCCCCCTGAATGCTCGCGCTCTCTCTCTCTCTCTCTCTCAAATAAATAAATAAAATCTTTAACACCTGTGGAAAACATCTGTGGGGTAACTGATGTTGCAGCCAGACAGCTCCTATGACCGGGTCCAGGTGGAGCCTTCTGCTGCGCCTTCTGATGCCCGCTACCACTTGGCCTTCTCAGCCTATCCCAAGTCCTGTCTTGCTTCCAAGTGGTGTGGCTGGTGGCATACGCCACATGGCCACCACAGCCAGCTACTTAAGAGTGGAAACGACAGCTGACCATCTCGGTTGCCCCTCCACTTTGAAAGCAACAGGCTCTCAGCAGGCAAACCTCTATCTCCTCACCTGGTCCCACTACTCACTGATGGCTTCTTTGTCTGAGCTGAGTCTCCTTTAGAGGTGAGGCTATGGAGCACAAAACAATCATACCTCCAGGGTTGGTACACTTGGTAGGAAAGTTTCTCTCTAGTGATATGATCTGATCTGAATGATGGCACCCAGATTAGCAGCAGTCACCAAAGACCAAGAACTCCAGTGCCCTTTACGAAAATGCCAAATTTCCAAATGTTAGGGAAGGCCTTAACATTTACTGGGTATGCTCAGATCAGTGTTTGCAAATGTGCTATTTCACATACCATGAAATCATGCATCAACATCCTCCTTTACACTCAGGTTAAACCGCGTGGCCAGGGCTGCACGATAAGCCACCGGTAGAGCTGGGTTTCAGACATGGCTTCTAGGTTCCAGTGCAGAGCTCCTTCCCTTTTTCCGTGCTGCCTCTCGGGTTTGAAGACAGGCCCAGGTTTTATAAGAATTTACTCCATTCATCAGTTTGAACAAAAAGTTTGGGAGTTGCAGTGGCCAACCCCCTGCCCCCCAATCTTTTTGGAAACATCATCTTCCCTGTTCAGGAGAAGGGCCCTTCTCTTTAACACTCACCTTGTGGCCAGAGAGGGGCTGCTGCCCTCCTCTCTGGGCACAAGAAGTGTTTCTGGAATGAACACTCCATCCAAGCGGGGCCTTTCAGTGGTGAGCCCAAGCCCTCCATGACAGCAGACAGCTACAGAGCTGGACAGTTACGTCACCTTAAGGGAGGTACGGGAAAGAAAGGCTCCCGAACCCAGGGAGCTGAGTCTCAGACCTTCTTCCATGGCCTTCTAATTGATTCCCTCTTTTGCTTCTCAAGCCAGTTTCCATTTCTATCTCTTAAAACTAAAGAATTTAACTGTCAAGGGAGTAAGAAGCATCGCTTGTCAGAACTTCTGGATCCCACTTTGTCAACTTTCTTTCCAACAGAAACAGCCCCTGTGCTCGTCACGTGGGAAATTACTCCAGGAAGGATGCTTAAGGATAACAGAGTGACCAAAAACTTAAAACTGATGACACGGTACGCTCATCGCATTGAGGGGTGAATGTCACACCTGACAGGACACCAAGGAGGCTGCCCTTTTTGTCACACAAACACATTCCTTATAAATAGGAAAACCCAACACTGATTAATGAAAGGCTTTTTCCAAGCAAAGCAGAAGGAGGCATCTGACAGAGGCAAGACACAGTGCGAAAGATGCTCTTGCCCTAACAACAGGGACCGGGCGCTTAAATTTATCATCTCCTCACTCCTTGGAACTTCGAAACAGGAGACCAAAAGTTTAGCGTGAACTTTCTTTGGCCGAGTGCGGCTGGCAGACAGCTGTGGATAGGCAGGTGATGCAGGGGACGGGGCCCCGCCCACTTACGTGGGGTATCCTCGCACCCCCTGCGCGGAGCACACATCTGAGTCGGCGGTGCAGTCCACTTTGGCCACGTAGACCTTGGCGTCCTCCATGCTGTTGTACTTGTCTCCCAGGTCATTCCACGTGGGCTGCAGCCGCTGGCAGTGTCCACACCTGGAACAAGGGGAGCGAGCACGCTGAGTCCTGGCTCAGAGGCGCCGGCCCCACCTGGACCTTTCTTTCCTCTGCCGCAGGGAAGGACGGCTCACCTTCGGGACACAACGCACTCCCCTGCCTCCGATCCCCCAGGGAGCCCCTGCATGGTTCTCAGCAGGAAACCGAAGCTCAGCAAGATCCTGTGCCCACCACCCGCCTTGCTCTAGCCCCCGCTGCCCTCCCATTTGTGCTCCATACACCTGCACCCACCTGCCCTGGCAGTCTGCCCGGAGCCAAATGATACCACGTGTGGCTTTCTAGAAGGGCCACAGCATGGCTCACCCCTGGAGATCGGTACCTGCTCTCTCTGACACTCGCTCCCTAGACCCACTTGCCAAATTCCTGTTTGCTCTCTCGGTTTAGTTTGGGTGTCACTTCTTCCAAGAAGTCAGTTCTGACTCCCCAGCTGTCTGGTGCCCTGCTCTGCTTCTTCTAGAAAACTCCCTGGCTCCCCCCTCTTCTGCAGCAACTGCTCACCATGATGGCTCCCTTTTAGTCAGGATTCTCTGTACTAAGTAAGTATCTGCAATGGAAGGTGACCTAAAAGTTCATTCAATTCTCCATTTTCTCTCTAAGAAGCGTTATTTGGAAAGGTCTATGGCTACCCAAACTTCTAAGTCTGATGTCACCAAATGTATACTTAGGATATTGACTCTGGATTTACTGGTACATTTTTAAATCACCTACCATTTAAAATAATATATCAACTTGGGATTCTTGCTTTTTGCTACTCTTCCCATTCCTTGACAGCATCAGCATCTCTCCCATCACTAAATCCACTTTTAAAATCATATAACTGATGACCTTCTTTAATTATCAGCTGTCTGCAATGCACTATTTGGAGGCTGTGTGAGCCGGTGCTGGAAACCTCATCTCGAGCTTCAAGTACGGTCAAGAATGATATGGCACATTGCGTTAGTTTTTTTTTTTTTGCTATTGTTGTTGTTTGTTTGTTTTCATTCACCTGGTGTATATTCATGATGTCTACAAAGTAACAAAGTTGCCACATTGCTTTTTTAAAGTAATCTTTAAAGTGCTTGCTTATAAGAACACCCAGGGGCGCCTGGGTGGGTCAGTGGGTTAAGTCTCTGCCTTCAGCTCAGGTCATGATCTCAGGGTCCTGGGATCAAGCCCCATATCAGGCTCTCTGCTCAGCGGGGAGCCTGCTTCCCGCACCCCCCCCACCCCCGGCCTGCCTCTCTGCCTACTTGTGTTCTCTCTCTGTGTCAAATAAATAAATAAAATCCTTAAAAAAAAAAAAAAAAAAAAAAAAACCACCCAACACTTAAAATTGTCAATCTGTCCTCAGACTAACTTCTCAAGAAAATCACTGTTAAGTTTCTTTGCCTTTTTTTTTTTTTTTCTTTGCCTCTTTTCTTTTCTGACAGTGGACGTCCACTATCAGCACTGAACAAGTTTGCTTCTGGCTACTGAGGCTTCCCTGTGCAGCACTTTGCTGGCCAGCCAGGAGAATCCCTGCTTTATAAGAAACTCAAATACAGGATGATTCCCTCTTTTCTGGAAGATAAGAGTGAGGGAAAAGCAATGTTACATGTAAATTATATTGTTATATATTAAGTTATATAATTTAAATAGTGCAAGTGCCATGAAGACCGGCATTGTTCTTTTTACAGCTGTAACAGCTGTATTCCCAGTACCTAGCACATGTTTGAAAGGGACTCAATTTGGCAATTTCTTAGTGATGGATCGACCCACAGGTGCCATGTAGTCAGCGCTCTGGTTTGGGACCCTTGTGGCACCTCTGAGACAGTAGCTGAATTCATTTTGTGGCCATATAATAGAGCAAAGCCACCTGGTCCTCCCAAGGAGGTGTCCCCAGCCTTGATCTCATTGTCACCAGATTCAGCATGACCTGCAACTGGACAGACAGGAGCTGTGGCCTAGTGTTAGCCCAAAATCCACAGCAGTAGCACAACATTACATCTACCAAGTTCAGAGCAAAATATATAGGGCAGGTATTCGTTACATGCCACCCCTGCCCCCTAAGTCACATGTGGGCTTCCGATATACCAGAGACGGAAACTGCAAAGAGATGAGGACCAAGAGGTAGGCCACAGCATATTCTATCTGTGCTCCAATCTGTTCTTAGCTTCTAACTTTTAATGCCATGTTTAAATATTTTGTAACAGACTAATAAGAAGCAAACAAAAACTTTAAAAGTAATTTTCTGTGAGCATCCATCTAAAAAGGAAGTTCCTTAATACCAAGTCCCAGGATTTGCCAGTCTTGTCCCCGACTCGGTCTAGGACTAGTAGGTACTGAGACTCCAAAATTAAAACTTTATTGGCACTGCATGGACTTTAAACATCTACAGGTCAGTTTTTCTTTTAAAAATAAAGAAAAAAAAATCCATGGACTTATTCCACTGAAAGGCACTCCAGTTAACTGGTGTATTTAATTGAAACAGTTACTCTGAGAATATCCCTTCACAGAATAACTATTAAGAGGGAAGGATTTTTTTGTGCTACAAAGTATTTTCCAGACCACTGTAGCCCTAAACCTTCAAGTCCGGCTGGTTTCTGGGAAGCTGAAACACAGTGAACCCCACTGATACATTGTTAATACATGACAGCTCTGACCCAGACCTGCCCCCAAAGACAACTCCAAACAAACTGAAATACAGTAACAGTCTCACTATGAAAAAAAGAGAAAGAAAAAAAAGTTTCCTCCAACTTCCGCCTGCACATTTTCTGAACAAGCCATTTTGCTTGGGCATCTTTCTCTTGCTTCCTACATCCCTTTCCCACATCTCCCTGAGCCTCTCTCTGGCTCTGGGGAAGAATGCCAAATGCTGCAATAAGCCTGAAAACTGCCTTGTGCCCTAGAACTGGCTTTCGGCTCTGCCCCACGAGAACTGCCCTTGGGGGCATGTAGGCCCTGGAAGGAAAGCACTACCTATGCTTGTGTGAACGTCAGGAAGTCCTTCCCGTAAGACAACTACCAGGGAAGGGGCCTCTGGTGTTGGCACAGAGGTCCACACTGACGCCTCCACCGGAGAACCGAGGCAGGAGGAACCCTCTGCTCAGCTCACACTTTCCAGAAGACCAGGCCCCAAGAGAGCAGAGGGGTGGAGGTGCCAGAGGTCAGCCTAGAGAGCACACCCGGCCACACGGAGCTGCCTCGGGGTCCCGGGCATTTGCATTACTCTCGGCTTCCCGGGGTAGCACAGGAACCCCCCCTCTGCCTGGGCCACCCCTTCCCACCTCGTGAACACACAAAGTAGGAAATCCCACCTTTGCGAGTTCTATTTCTCAACTAATCCCTCGTGCAAGGGATCTGCCCTGCCGCGAGCGCACGGAATCCGACCTCCGCGCGTCCCCGGCCGGAACCGGGTGGCCGGCGGCCGCCGCACGTGGCGCACGGGGCGCGGCCGCACGAGCAGGCCGCCGCCTCCGGCCGGCGCAACAACTTTGGGAAGGGGCTGGGGGCTGGGGACCGGCGGGGTGGCCCCACAGGGCGACGCCACCACCCGCCCCTCCCCCGGTCCGGGGAGTCGGGGGCGGGGGGGACCCGGAGCGGGGGCGACCCGGAGCGGGGGCGGGACGGCCTTTCCCGGCTGTCCCCTCGGGGCCCGCCCCCTCCTGCACCGCCCCGGCCGCCCTGCGCCACGTCAGCCGCGAGCGCCCACGCCCCCGGCCCGAGCCCACCCCGCGCCCTTCTGGCCGGCCGCGGCTCCCGGCACCCCCCTGCCCCCCGGCTCGGTCCGCCCCGGCCACCCCCGGCGCGCAGGCTGCGGGGCCCCGAGGAGAGCGGCGCGGCCAGTTACCAGGGCGCGAAGAACATGACGAAGTGCGCGGCGCTCTGGATCCCGTGCGTGAACATGTCGGCCGTGTACAGGTGCTTGGCGTGCGGGTCCTGCCCGTCCCCGCCGTCCGCCGCGGGGGGCCCGTCCGCCGCCGCCGCCCCCGGCTCCTGGGCCCAGGCGCCCCCGCGCCCGCCGCCGCCATCGCCCAGCAGCAGGAGCAGCGGCAGCGCGGCCAGGGCCAGCGGCCAGGGCAGCGGCGGGAGGAGGCGTCCGGGGCGCGCGGGCATCACGGCGGGGCTGGCGCGCTCTCGCCACGGCGGCCGGTCCCCCTCGGCGGCGCCCGCCCGCTGCAGCCCGCCCCGCGCACCGCCCCGCGCCCCGCCCCGCGGAGGCCGCACCCCCTCCTCGCCCCGCCCCGCCCCGCCCCGCGCCCGGCGCGCGCCCGCTGCCCCGCGGAGGCCAAGTCGGCGCGCGCCGGCTGCCCAGAGTGGGGACGATGAGTGGTCCCGGCCGCGGCACAACCCCACGGCCCGCTCAGCCCAGAGGAAGGCGGCCGGTGGAGGGCCGGCGAGGCCAGGCCGGGAAGCCACAGAGCGGAGTGTCGGCGTCGGTTCGGCTCAGCCGCACACACAAAGACCCCGGGGATTTCGGGCCAAAGGAAGGAAAGAGCGGCGGTCAGCGGAATGGAGGCGCTGGGGCAAAAGTGGGTGGGCCTTGCACCTGAATGAGTCAAATGCTTGGCCAGCCCTCAGCTCTGATTCCGGGCCTGTGCTCAGAGGTGGGCTGAAACCCGCTTTCCAAGTGAACCCCTGGCCTGTTATCCCCGCCCTGCCTTAACTTGAGGGTGAGGAGGAGAGAAGGTCAAAGTGACCTCTTTTAAAAACAAGTCCCGCAGAGCTCATTCTCCAGAGACCGGCTGGTGTCCCCCTAGTACCCCCTGCATTAAGGTAATAAAAAGGAGGGACGACGCCCCAACTCTAGCTGACCCCCATTGTGGAATGACTGAGAGGTAGCCCCTGGGCTTGGGCACCTCACGGTTCACACCTGCACACGTGCCTTATTGCATATGGTGATTGAAGTTCCTGGCTCTGCCCTGGCGATCTGAAGCTAAGTTAAGGAGCATCACTGGCTAGCTTCCTGGGATCCTGCTTGGTCCTTGATTATCCTCAATTTGGGAAACTCCAGGCAGTTACACTTGGCCTGGTGACAGCGGAAGCTCCCAGGGACTCACCTGTCATTACACCGCTCCAGACTTGGGGTCAGCCACTACTAATAACTTGAACCAGGGTTTGCCAAATACCAAATTATCAATTTCCCTTCAAAACCTTTTCTCCCAACCACTTAAGCTTGAAAAATGAGGCTCACATTTCACTTGTTCCCTCATTTCCTTTATCTCCTGTAATTCAAACCCACCAGGTTTCTTGCAACGATCATTTCTGTCCACCATTCTGAATATTCCTACTCTTACCAGACCTTAATCCTGGCCTACTGCAGTAGTTTTCTAAGGGCCTCCTTTGTTTACATACCTGGACAATTAATTTTCCTAAAGCCTGCCTTTGACCATGATAGTTTGCTGCTTAATACCCTCCTTGCCCACCATGTTCAAGGTGAAACACAGACTCCTTAGCTTGCCACTCAAGGGCCTCCATGATGACATTCCATGTGCTTTGTGTCCTGTGAAACTCATTCACCACTAGATGTCCGGGGATTCTCTCTAATAATTTACTATTACCAGACTTTTATCCCCATCCTCCCCCAGCCTCGTACTCCCCAAACTTTTCACCTGTGCTACCAGGAGAGTCCAAAACAAGATTTGCACACATGTCTTTCCTTAGCTTAATTAATACAAGCAGAAACACAGGAGCTCCCAAGTGTTAGCATTTTAGCCTTTCACACCTTGAATCCCTTAGAGCCAGGAAGTAAAGCAGGTGGCTTCCTTGCTCCCCATCGCTCCTTCCAAACCATCTCTCCCCCTTCCTCTGGCAAAACCCCTAGCTGCTATCAAGCAATTGTGTTGCATATGGCATCCATTACTCTTTCGGTGCTAGTCACCCACCCACCTCTGTCACCTAACTTCTACCAGGTGACTCTCTCCTCCCACCCCGTTCACTGAAGATTTGGTTCCTGGCTCACAGTCTTCCCGGCCACCCCTTTCGTGTTTTCATTCCTGGTGTCTTCAGCATCCAGGAGGACGACCCACCTATCTGTCCCACAGTGACTCCTTCCCAAAGGGAAACCCTAGAACTCGTTATAACCTGAAACTGCACTGTCTCCAAAATGCGAATCAAAGGCGTTCCACTCCACCCAACACCTCTCGTACTTTGAGTCCACTTGCTCAATGCCCCTCATCATGACCTCTGAGCTCCTGATCCCATCTGCTCACTACAATCCAGATCACTGTGTGCTCCCTTGCCCCCGACCAAACTGGCTCCCATGAATTTTCATACTTGATGCCTTGCCATGTTCTCCTGCAGTGACACAGGCGAGGCCCGAGAGAGAGTTTGGTTTCCCATCTGTGCCATGCTTCCTTATCTCTATGAAACCCCCCCCTCCACTCCCCTCTTCATCCTCTCTGTTGAACTTGACTTCACACCGCTCTAGGAAACTGAAGCCAAAAGCACTCTTTCGTGTTTGCACCAGCAAACCTGCACAAACGTGCATGGTCCCTTTCTTCCTTCTGGTTAAAAGAGTGAAGGAGGGTGCCAGGGTGGCTCAGTGGGCTAAGTGTCTGCCTTCGGCTTAGGTCACAATCCCAGGGTCCTGGAATTGAGCCCCACATCAGGCTCTCTGCTCAGCGGGAGTCTGCTTTTCCCTCTCCCTCTGCCTGCCGCTCCCCTGCTTATGCTCTGTCAAATAAATAAATAAAATCTTAAAAAAAAAAAAAGAGAGAAGTAGTATCCCCTTCCTAGCAAAGGCCAGTCCTCCCAGTGCTCTAGAGCATACCCATGGTCTGCTAAATAACACACCCCCTCCCTGCCCCAGATAACCAGGTCCTAATTCCTGGGACCTCTGACTGCTACCTTATAGGACAAATGAGACTTTGTGGATGTAATTAGATTAAGGATCTCCAGGTGGGGAGATTATTCTGGAATATCTACATAGGCCTGAAATGTAATCACAGCTGGTTTTGTAAGGGAAAGGCAGAGGGAAATTTGACTACAGGAGGAGTACAGGAGGCAAGCAGAGTAGAGAGATATTTGAAGATGCTCCATCCAGGATCTTCTCTCTCCTTGTCATGGATTTTGAAATGCTCTGTCTCTCCTAGACATTTTCATGCACATATAACATACTTTAGATCTCCTAACTTAAAGATAAAATCCTTTAAGCTCACAATCTCCAGCTGCTATCCCAATTCCTTACTTTTCATTCATAGCAAAATCTTTCAAGAAGTATTTGCATTTGGGGCACCCGGGTGGCTCAGCTGGTTAAGTGTCTGACTTCAGCTCAGGTCATGATCTCAGGGTCCTGGGATCGAGCCCTGTGTGGGGCTCCCTGCTCAGCAGGGTGTCTGCTTTCATTTCTTCCTCTACCCCACCTCCTGTTCGTGGTGTCCCCCCTCTCTCAAATAAATTTAAAAAAAATCTTTTAAAAAAGAAATTATCTACATTTCATGTTCCTCTCATTCTTGAGCCTATGCCACTGTGGCTCCCACACCCACCAAACACCGAAGTCACCAAGGGTCCCCCACACTGGCACTTTGCTTTCCTCATCTCACCTGGCTTCTTACAAGCAATCATGGCAGCTTCTGGAGCCACTGCGGGCAGCTTCTCTGATTGCCTCCTCCCTTACTCACCACTCCTCAAGCCCCTCATCTCAACCCCTAACATGTCCTTAGCCTCCAGCCCACTTTTCCTCTCGCTACACTTACCACCACCTCCCGCTCCTCGAGGTGACCTCACTCAGAGCCATGGCCCTAGACAGCATCTCCACGATGCCAACGCCATATTGTATATACCAACTGAGACCTTTCCCTGAGCTCTCGCTATCTAATTGGTATCACCACTTGTTTATCTTACCAGCATAGCCAAAACCAAACTCAGGACACCCCACTGCCATCTGCTCGTTCTTCAGTGTCTTCACTTGGTAAGTGTTGCTTCCTGAGGGGGGAGGTGTTGCTCACAGGCTGCACCCCTTCCTTTCCCTTTTCCTTAGTTCTGTGTCTCGGGCCCCACCCCAGCCCCCAGCTCACACAAGCAGGCTCTGTCACTTCCATTTCTGAAACGCATCTCCAACGACTTACTCCCTTCCACTCTCTTGTCTGCTACGAGAGCCTCCTGATGTAACTCACCCATGAGTCCCTCCAGTCTGGTTTTCACACAGCAGCTACAATGGAACCATCACTGTCACTCAGCTTTCTTTGGGTGGCTTCCTTTTCTCTTAGGATGCAGTCCCAACTCCTTGCCTTGGCTTCCAAGAGCCTCCAGGAAAGATGCAGTCTCCTTGCATATCCCTGTGTCTGCTGCTCCCTTAGATTCCAGCCCTTCTGGATGATTCTTGACACTCTCCACTTACAGTGCCCCAGGCTTGTTTCCTCTCACTTCCTGTGACTGGCCTCGTTGACCCCTCAGCTCTCTCAGCTCCCACATCACCTCCTTGGGCACATCTTCCCAGCAGATCCCTTCAGAGCAGCCTCCCTCTGCTTGCCCCATTGTCTCCCTCACTGCAACATGGTTGCTACATGGCCCTTTTCACAATCTGATGTCCTTCTGTTGCAGATGCATGTGTTAAGTTAGTTCATTGGCCCTCCTGTCCACCAGCAAGCCCCATTAAGGACAGGCCTATCTGTCATGGTCACCACTCTCTCCCTAGAACCCAAACGTCTGGCATGTGGTAGACATTCAGCAAGTGTTGGGTGAAGGAGCCCACCTTCCCACCCATGTCTCTCTCGCAGGCTCCGGGAAGACTGAATCACCTACTCTTATCCAGATACACACCAGGCTACTCCTTGTGCCTGGAAGGACTCTTCCTTCTCTGGGCCAATGACAGCCCTGCCTTTCCGGCAGGAGCCAAGCCATCCAGCACCTCTGCCCCTGAGGGCTGGGCTAAACACCCAGCCATCACAAGGAAGGGAGGTGCTACTTTCTCTAGTAGCACCTTAGGATCCCACCTCTGAGCAGCCTGACCTCCAGCTTAAGAAAGCCCAAGAGTGGATGGAGACACAGAGTTTTTACACCAGGAAGTGAATACAACTTTCTCAGGGAAGACTTTTCTGAGCCGCAGCAGGGGTCAGCCCTCAGCCCCACTATGCTCTCATCACACCTGACCTTTCCCTCCACATCCCTGAACAGAACAGTCATTATTG